AATATTTAAATTTTATATAGCTTACTCATGATTCTGGACACTCAGGCATTAAACTTTGGAACTGGTTAGATAGAGATAGAGAGAGAATTAGATAAATAGAGCTATAAATGACATTCACTTTCCAGTATGTTCACTAACGTTTCACTATGCCGGAAGGTACTAAGATTCTTATTTCTAAATGAAAAAATACTTTTCCAGCCTCCAGGAAACCATGTGTTCATTTCTTTCAGCACAATTCTCTTTCACTTGTATTCACTTTGAATCTGCAATGCAATATCGAACATATATTCCTTTGAAATATATAATAGGTTACAAAAAGAAATATTTTTCCTGTTCTATGGTATATTTTATTTTATTGCTGTTATAAAACTTTTAAAGCATATTTGACCAACTTTGAGAGTAATTAGGTTCTAGGAAAGTCTCTGTGGAAAGCTTACATGTGAAATCTGATGGGAAAATACTTCTACTTGACTGTAACTGCATTGGGCACTGAGATGTTTATTTCAGATTCTGATTGTATATCCACCGACCTGTTAAAAGAGCTTCCTTATTTTCATTTTGAATCTAGTAATCAGTACTCTCCACAGTTCAGTTATTCCAAGACTGATTGTTTGGATTTTCTTAGCATGTTATCATATTATATCTATAAAGGACTGATTCTTATTTTAATGTATTCAGTCACCATAATGATCTCATTTTGTGTCTGGCCTTAGGCCTTTTCAATAGATTTGTAAAATCAACCATAACATTCCTGCACTATATAGTGTGCGTGAAGGGATAACTGGATTATTAGTTATTTTTAGACTATGAAATGAAAGGTTACTATTCATCAAAACATATTTCTTGCACTATGCCTTCCCTTTAGGATGATCTCTCTAGACCAGATAAATCTACTTATAAAATCTGTACATATTTATAAAATTTAGATCAAATCAAATAACTAATTGAGATTATTCCTTGCAGAATTATCATGGCTATGTACAACTTGTGAAGATAAGACTGGATATTTGTAATATTAAGCAAGATTTTCACTTTGTACAAACTAATCTCATTTGTACTTTCTAAATTTATTTTAAAAATAAAAATAGTTTTAATATATTAAATATATTACATTTAATATGTTACATTTAATACATTAAATTAAATTTAATCACTGGAAATTTTTAAGAAAAAAAATAGACAGCCACCTTTCTGAAATGATATGGGGTTGAGCAGGAAGTTGGACTAAAAGACTTCCAAGGTTCCTTCGAGCTCTATTCTGATTGACATTATTAAGTTATTGAGTTATGACATTCATTTTCTATAATTTGCAATGGTTTAAACACCTAAATAAAACTTTATCACAATGCATATATTAAGAGAAAGGACTTATTTTGAAGAAAATTGTTAGCAAAGTTATTTTTCTAATAATATATGCACTCAAACCCATTCATATTTTCTTACATTATTTAAGAACTCAATGGATGGATAGAGTCATGAACTATTTATAGTTGATCTTATGAGATCATTAATATTCTAAATTTTTCACAAGTTGCTCTGACATTTGATGGCATGTCATTCGATTTTGAATTTCTATAAAAATGCTCTTAAGGTTTTAGTATTGTCTTATGACATTATAAAACATTTCAAATTTTTCACATGAAAGCTATAATATTTGGTCAATAAATCATTAAAGCAGCAACTTGATTTTGACAATCTAAACAAATATTTATTTTACCATGGATGGCTAATTTGGACAGCTGTTACACATCTAGCTAGGTGTATCTTGTTGCTGATACTCTCAATCTGAAAATAGACTGAGGCAAAATTAAAATTTGGAATAATAATCAGAACTAAATTTGACAGTTTAATCAATTCATAATGGATTCATTTCAACTGATTTTAGTCATGGCTTCAGTAAAAAGATGTTTTGATTGATTAAATGGATTACGAGTTCTAAGATAAGGATAGGAGCATTGTCGTGGTAAATCTCTGGGATCCTTTTGTGACTTTTCATGATTTCTAAATCTGTCCTTGATGTGGACTCTGTGTTTCAGATGGACAGTATTGTATAGAACTTCTGCTTCAATTTGAAAGATTTATTTACAGTTTTCTATTCTGTCAAGCTCTTTGATACTGTTTAGTTTATTGAATTGCTGATGACATATAGCTCTCATTGTTCTTTTTATGAGATTGAGAATCATTTGGGACAAGTTGTCCAATTGTTACTTTTTTTGCTTAGACATAATTAACTTTTCAGCAAAGATTTTTTTTCTGTATATGAAAAGCAAAATACAGTTAAGTAGATAACTAATATTACTGTGCGGTAAAATAATGCATTATTAATATGGGAGATAAAAATATCTGAAAAGTATCTTATGTAATACTAAAAGACTAAGATTGGCATCAGAATGTGTTTTTCTCAAGAATGATTTTTACCAATGGTCTTCTTTCATTGTATCTTGGAGAACATGTGGGAATTCAAAGAAATCCTCTGCAGATGACTATAGAAGTGAAGGTTTTGTTTTCATGTTGCCAAATTGGAAGCCACATAAAATTTAAAAGGATAGTGATTAATATTGTTAATCACTGATTTTGCTGTGGTCTACATTAATGTATGGATTTTTTCACTTTTCATGACTATTTTTTAAACTATGCGCAAATCTAAGATATTAATTACTGATCGGTAACATACATTAAATAAATTAATAATTCATGCAAAATATGTATCATTTACCTAACTGCTTACATGAATTTCTATATTGTCCAGACTTCAATATACCAATTAACACAGAAGTAAATGGCATGTGTTTGTCATTTTTTATGTGGTGGAGTTTTAAATGCTGTAAGTCACCTGGAATCACCTATGTGTGAGTTGGAAAGCTATATAAATGTGTTTAATAAATAATTAATTATTCTCATAGATTGCAGTCACTCTAAAATATTATTTGTAGTATAAATATTGAACATGCATATTTATATATTCTCATTTTTTAATTTTTGGATTTTTTTTGCTTTCGCTTTTTGTGTTTTTAGTTAATATGCTTTTTATAAAGCAATAGAAAAAAAGACATATCTCTCTTCCTACAAAATACTACCAGAACAACCTAGGTATGGAACAGATAATATACTGTGGAACATTTAACAGTCTAGTATTTGACAGATAAAAAGAGGGGGAGAGAGGGTAGTTTATTCTGGATCTTCTTTTTTCCATGTTGAATTTACAGTTGGTGAAATTTCAGCTATATTACAATATCTATTTATATTCTTAGTCAACAATTTAAATCAATCTTAATCAAGAATGTGTATAAATATTGGTTTACTTTTCATGTTTAAACAGGTCTATATGTTCATAAATCTGGTTTCACATATGGATGTTGATCAGCTAGTTCAGTGGCAGTATTACAAAGTTGGATTATTTGTAAATGTATAGATGGAGAAAAAAATGAAGGACATATGATAGTAAGACCAAGGATTAGTAAACTCCAGTCTGATCAGTCCCTGGAGTCCAATCATACTCTGACTTCTTGCATAGGCAATGTTTTTCAACATCTGCATAATTTATAATGATTATTATAAATTCCATTAATTCAGATCTGGATTGCAAAAATTCAAAGCACCATAAGATTACAGTAAAGACTTTGCTAATATTTAACACAAAGTTTTTCAGTCCAGGCCTGGAAACTGTAATCCACCAGAGTATATATAAAACTGTAATTCTCAGTGCAACTAAATCAAGACACGAATTACTAAAAATGCAAACATTGCACAGAATTTCATAATACACTTTGACAGTATATTTCACACTTTGTTATTTGAAAACTAATTCTAATAGTAAGATTAATGTTAGCTAGCATGCTAGAAACAGAGTACTAGACTCTGGTATTAAAGTTATTTACAAAGATACCCTTGGGTGGTGGTTTATAAGAAAATTAGAATATTAAATAGCAAGTGATCAAAGCTTTGATTTAAGTTGCTCATTCACACACAAGAAAAATATAGTAATAAATTAAGCTAGAAAGAACAGGAGTTTTCTGGAAAGGTGCAACTTTATCAGCCGCTTTTGGTAATTTATCATTTTGTGACATTTTGTGTCACAAAAGATTTCTAAAATATCTATAGAGAGAGTATCCTTCCCTAAGGTAGAAGTTATTTTGTGAAAGGGATCATAATAGTCTCTCAAAAATTCAAATATTACTTTCAGCCTTAAGGGTATGAAATTGTTAAAGCTGACAACTTTTTTTTTACAAATATAATATTTAATATGCTTTTCTTCTGTCTCCTAGGGGTTATGAAAGAAGTAGGCATCATGATCGCTGTGCATGTTTTTTATTTTTTTTAAATCGCATTTGTAACATAATGCAAATTTGTGGCATATTACGAGTTGGCAATAGCAATAGCACTTAGACTTATATACTGCTTCACAGTGCTTTACAGCTCTCTGTAAGTGGTTTACAGAGTCAGCATATTGTCCCCAACAATCTGGGCCCTCATTTTACTGAACTCAGTAGGATGGGAGGCATAAGTCAACCTTTATTTATTTATGAATAATTATACATGTGGTTGCCATCCATTTACTTATTACTGTTAAATATATGGAAAAATTATTAGTGTCTGTAAAGCTGATGATTACTCCTAAACTATAAAATATTAATAAATATTATATAATAATTACTGGGCAATTTGTATTTTATATTTGTATTTCCCAGGTATCTGCATTGTGCACTCTAGGTTACTTACACAAGCTGTGCAATTTCTCTCAGTGCAGTTGAGCCCCTGAAGTCCCCACCCTAATGAAAAGCAAAGAGACATTTTCACAGATGATCCAATTGTAGGACTGCTTGTATTCTCCTTTTCTTGATTTGAACAGCATATAGGATACAGTTGGTGCTTACCTGTGCTTTCAAAAGCTGAAAGTGGATTCCATTTCTTAATCACAATTCAGTGTGGCCATGCTTTGAAAAAGTCAAATAGGCAATTTAAGTATAAATTAAGTATAGTTGCTTTCCTCTTTTTCACAGCTTGCCGGTCAGGATTCTATAAAGCATTTGCTGGAAATATAAAGTGTTCCAAGTGTCCTCCACACAGCCAAACCTTCGTAGAAGCAACATCTGTATGTCAGTGTGAAAAAGGTTACTTCCGAGCTGATAAGGATCCACCAACTATGGCATGTACCCGTAAGTTTAATTGATCCTAGTGTTTAAAATTCTTCCCTTATCCCTCTTTATCTTAAAGATAAGAACAGCATTTGTTTTTGCCAATCAAAAATGCAAATTAGTTTTTCCTCTAGACCCAAGACACTTACATATTGAAAAGTATTCCTCAGTTTTATGTATCATCAAAACAACAACACACTGCAGTACCTTCATTATTAATAGAATAATTACAGTTTAGGAATATTGGGTAGTAACTAGTGTTTATTTTTCTGGGTGTGATTCTGTATGTATATATACTATAAATTGATTATCTGGTATCAAGTCAGTGTGAACTCAGCAATACATAGATAAACCTTCTAAAGGAGTAAATTTTTACCTTTTCCTTTCCATGCCCAATCTGGGAGAATGGATGATATATAGGCACATCCTTGAAATTAACTGTTGCTGTTATTTCTGAGATATTCATTAGATTCCTTTGATTATACTAAATTTCTTAGGTGGCACCAACTTACCTGTCTATGTAGTGCATATCATATACTTTTCCTTTAATACAATAATAAGCATTCACTACTTGTTAGATCTGAAGAAGATTGGAATATAATGCATGCATAATTTAAAATTATCCATGTATTTTGCTTGCCTAAACAAAATATATAACATAAGGAAATTCCAGAGTGTATTACTCACAGATGTCTGCCAAAAAGGCTATGACTGCCAGGTTTCTTTCCCCAATGTGATATATAATCTATGTATAATGTATAAGTGATAACAAAGCAATCAGGCCACATTCATAAAATCCCAATGACACATAATTTAGCAGAATCTGTGGATTATAATTAATTGTCTCTCTTTGTTCCAAGTTCTAAATCTTAGTAAATGATTCACTGCATGTCATTACAGCTTAATATTTGCATGAAATCACAGTTTAGTTGGCATAATTTAATGGCAATTAAAAACCAATTTAATCGTCATGCAAATTGGCATGAGGGCCCTTGAGTATGAAGGGTGTCTATTTCTTAAGAATCTGCACACTGTCATTTCTATACTTTTAAACATTCCTACCACAATTGATAACAATTTTCCTGTTCACAGCAATACAAATGGACAAGAAATCATATTTTTGTTATAAGCAAAGTCTAAAATTCTCAAAACAAATTTATTATGGGTTTCCATGGATTACAATTTATTTCATCTTTACAATTTATTATATCCTGAATACAAATAAAGATCCATATGCCTTAGTGGAGAAGGAGTTAAAAAATGAAATACAGAAAATATTGGCAGCACAATTAAATTATTATTAGTGGACATGCAGAATTTTATGGCCAGTTGGTATAGCCAATAAGAATATTTTTTTTAAAAAAAATATTGCTTTTATTAACAAAAACACTTCAAAATAGTGAAGAAACTCTCCAGAAGCTGAACACCATTAGGTTTTGAATACCTTCTTATTATAAGTGTCACATTTATCTCAATTATTATTGTAGGATAAAACAAGATGGTTTGAAGCATTTTAATACTACAATTCCATGATTTTTGAGAAAAGTTGAGAAACCCACTGTTAATAATTTGATTTTGGTTCTCTTAAATAGGTACAAGAATACAAAATACATATGCATGCTGAAGCCCATATTTTTTCAGTTTGATCTTTTGTTACAGTTCAAATTAAAAATAATCATAGCAAATTAACCTTTACCTATGGGGAAAAGATTCATGAACATATAACATACTGTATGAAAATCAGAATGAATTCTATTTACTTTTTCTGTCATTTTTTTAAATCTTTAAGTTCTCCATGTATACAATGCAGCCAGGGCTTTTATCTGCTTGTATATTGGTTAGTCATTAGCCAAATTATGAGTGGCAATTGTACAGTAGTTACAAAAGGCTTCCAAACTATCAATTATTTTGTCAAATCTCAGAACTGTCAATCCATATTTTATACTTGTTTCATCAGTTGCTAGATTCTGAAAGCCGTATCTTGAATGTGTCCTCAATTTGGATAATACTTCTAATCTGATTTTATTCCTAGTTTTACATGTTTATGTTTAGTAGCAGTTAGACTTATATACTGCTTCATAGGGCTTTCAGCCCTCTCTAAGCGGTTTACAGAGTCAGTATATTGCCCCCAACAACAATCCGGGTCCTCATTTTACCCACCTCGGAAGGATGGAAGGCTGAGTCAACCCTGAGCCGGTGAGATTTGAACAGCCGAACTGCAGAACTGCAGTCAGCTGAAGTAGCCTTAAACCACTGTGCCACCTCGGTTCTTTGTTTGCTTAGTTAAATACTGATGTCCCACTACTATAGAATATTTTATATATCATTGTAGGAGCAAAAATGAATATTTTTCCTTTACATATGATATTTGTGAAAAAAAATTTAAAACAGTTCTTCACAGCTTTTTTCTTATTTGCTCATATATATTTGCCCTACACAATTTGTTTTTGTAAATCAAGGATAGAAGATAAGTTCTGTGTGAACGTGAATATTAATATAAGACATTGCTATTTATAAATACTGATTATTTTCTTTTTTCTTTTGTAGGACCACCTTCTGCTCCAAGGAATGCCATTTTTAATATAAATGAAACAGCCCTTATGTTGGAATGGACTCCACCAAGTGACACAGGAGGGAGAAAAGACCTTACCTATAGTGTCATTTGTAAAAAATGTGGTACTGATACCAGCCGGTGTGAGATATGTGGAGGAGGAATCCGATTTGTTCCAAGACATAGTGGTCTTATCAATTCTTCAGTGACTGTACTTGATTTTGTGTCCCATGCGAACTACACTTTTGAAATAGAAGCCATGAATGGTGTCTCTGAATTAAGCTTTTCACCAAAGCAGTTCACAGCCATCACAATTATCACAGATCAAAATGGTGAGTGTCTTCTTATTTGTGTGTCAGTTAGAGCTTATAATATAATATGATTAATAACATTTCATAAATTAATGAATATAAAGAAAGTATGCTTGTGCTTTTTCAAATGATTTATACTTCCATTGTCATATTTTGGTTGCAGGATACATCATAAGACTTCAGAAACAGTTTATCAAAACAAACTAACTTACTTTTTATTCAAGTAATGTTAATTGATGTGGTTTATTTTTCCTTGGACAAGTATATTTTTAGTATTTTATCGTGTGTATAATCCAGGAAATTTTGCTAGCCAGTTTGCTACCTTACTACTAGTTTGTGACTTTGATTTAGAAGTCAACTATCTATGAGATAAAGAAAGCCTTGTTTATATGTGCAAAAGTATATTTCACTTATTTAAAACATTACTGAATGCTTCATTAATCTAATTTCAAAAAATTACCTTGGTAGCTGGTTTGTTAAGTCCAGATGTAATGTTCTTTGTAAACAGACAATGAGAGATGGGTTGCTATCAGTTCACATTGATTCGGGTGAGCCAGTAGTGAAAATTGCGACTGGGTCACTGAACCGTTAGGGAATACAGTCTCGTGACACCCCCAAACCAGTTCCTTGGTTGCTATGGCATGGTTTGGGGGCATTTTTAATGTTCTGCACATGCACAGACCTATTTACAGACAACTGTGCACATGCACTGAACTGGCAGTAATGCCAGCAGCAACCCACCCCTGCAGACAATAATATGTATATTCACAATGTTGTATTAATAAACTTTGTAATAATAAACCTCGTAATTAATGGATTTTGCGGGAGTTAAAGACACTAAAATATGAATTTACAGATATTTCCCAGTTGATCAAAAAATCTTATGTGTACGAAAATGCAATATATTCCATTGTTTATCTGATTGAGCAACAATGGCATTTATAAAATTAAAAAATTCAAATGGACAGCTGTGGTCATATGATTGAAGCCGATAGATGATAGATAGATAGATAGATAGATAGATAGATAGATAGATAGATAGATAGATAGATAGATAGATAGATAGATGATAGATAGATAGATAG